GAAAAATAAAATAAAGAGGTTGTGTACATTTACCGTGTGACAACAAGGACTGATCATCCAATGTCACACGAGCGAAATCGTTACAAGGAGGCAGCCAGGGGAGTTTGCATAAAAAAGGCTCATAACCTTTCTCCCAAAACATGTTCATCAATTACATTATAGCAAGCATACGAAATAACATGTAACATATGTGTAGAAGAGTCATAACCTTCCACTAATGAGAAAAACAAAACTGGGTGAGCCTCAAGATGACGATCTTGGCTACACCTAGGGTCTTTAAGAAGCAAATTAGAACAAATTTCTCAAAGACCAGCTTTAGTAAAGCATAAAGAGTTCACCAACAAACGAAATCAGACCAGGGGTGTAAGCAAACCTTGCGTAAATACCATGTGATGGCCAACATAAACCATACATGAAGAAACCAAACAAAAGAATATGTGCGGTAACAACAAACATTCATACCCACAAATATAAAGGGAACATTGTCAATGTCGCCAGACTCCCGAAACTTTCAGACTGCCATTGAGGGCAGCAAAGACAAAAAAAAGCAAGAAATAGAAAACATTGTTCAAAGGAGTTACACCAAAACAAATCAAATAAACAGGGCTACTTGTGGGCATGGGTGTGTTACCATCACCGGGTGAAGAACTTGGGCCAGGGCCAGACCCATCGCTCTGAGCGTCTTGACAAAGATCGTGGAGCCCGACCATGTCCAGACTTCCCAGGTGGAGATAGCCAGCGAAATCTGTTTCAGTAAAAGTCGCCATGGCATCTTCCATCTCTTGGGTCTTAGTGGCCACGTCCACCTCAACCTCCGGATTAAACTCCCCGACAATCACCAGCTCTTTCGCTGCTCTCTTTCCCTACTCCACCCCTGCCGCCACATAAGCCGCCCGCACCTGAACCAAGCCTTGGAGAAACTGAGGGCTCTCGATCACCCTGTCCACCACCCGGCTGAGCCCGTTGCTAAGGATCCACGAAACATCCTTCTCCAACGCCCTTTTTGTAGTGTTCTCAGCAACCAGATCGACCTCCAGTTCTGCCGTCCGCTCGCTTAGACCGGCGTTCTCCAGACTCTGGGCCTCCACACGATCATTCAGGCACCTCACCTCTTCCTCCAGCTTTGCCACTTGATCTGCCAAGCTTGCATTCTCGAGCAGCACCACCTCCTACTTGGCCTCCCAGCTGCGCTTGTCGGCTTCTATCTTCGACATCTGGGCTTTCAGCTCTTCGCATTCGACGCTCTTCCGGTCAGAGTCAGACTGGAGGGTCTCCATATCGGAGATACATTCAGCAGCTGCGATCAAGTAAGATGACACTTGGGCGGCGGCATAGCGCAAGCCATCGGCCATATGCTCGTCCGCTAGGACAGTTAAGGCCTCAGTGGTAGCAGGGGAAAAGCGTGTCGACACCACTCAAGAGCAGTGTCGTGATTAGAGACAAGGTTTTGGGCAGTTAGCCTCCAAGCTGGCTTGTAGGCATCTGGATGAGAACCTACTAAAAGGGGGACGATTGCGGTTTTACCAGAAGAAGTGGATGTGAGACCTTGGGCAAGCGAAGACCCAGACTTCCCCTTGGCCCCTTCAGCAGTGGGAACATGGCTGGTCTTGTCGGTGCTTTCTTCCTCTGTATGACTAGGCGGTTCAGTCGCCCTGATTTGTGCCCCCTCCAGTAGTTTCGGAGGACTTTCATCGGGGGCACGGTTGGAACTCTTGGTACCCCCCAGTAAGAAACTCAGATTATGTTTCTTACGAAGGGGGGGCTCGGTGCTAGCCGTCTCAGTTCGACCACCGGTAGCGGCTTCCATGAAAGCAAAACGCATATTGACACGGCGAAGGCTCCTCGGAGACCCGGAAGGCGTATAATCCCTCTGAGAAGCGCCGGTGACAACAATATCCTGCAGATCTGGATCCTCGCCGGCATCGGTAACACTGTCAAAACTGACGGTAGCCTTGATTCCTTCACCAGAAACAGGTAGTGGAAGAGACTCCACAAGATCGACGTCGCGACACTGAAGTTCACCGTCGAACAGATCCTAAAGAGCTTTCTCCAAAGAAACAATCTCTTCCACACCTGGAAACAAAACAAAAAACAACGACAGTTAACTAGAATGCCGATTTCAACGTGCTTTGCCGATTTTTTTAAAAAAAAAAGGGGGGGGGGAAGGGGGGGGGGGAGGGGGCAAGAGAAAACAATCTGCGAAGCACAATACCCTCTTTCTCGACGAAAAACTCTGGTATCTTCCCGCGAGCCCTCCAAGCCGCACTCATTCCACCAGTGGCCAAGAAGCAGTTAAGCCAATATTCACCGTTGATGCTGATCTTCTCTAGGATATCAACCAGTTCCTTGTCAGCACCAAAAAGTGTCAGAGCGCGGTCGACGTACACCTTAGCTCTTGGATAGCTGAGCACCACGAGGTCGCTGTTCACCCACAAGAACTTCTCATGCCATTTCTTCTTGGACTTTTTATCGTGGATAAGAGTAGGGACTCCCCACCGACGAGAAAGGGTCCGAGTCCCTGACTGAGTAGAGGCATTGAAGAAGTACTTGAATGTCGGAACAGTTGGTAGACGGCCTAGGGCACGACAGAGGAGTTCAAAACACACTATATTGTTTATAGCGACAGGGGTGAGCTCTCTCACGGAAAACCCATATTCCCGGATAATCAGGTTGAAGAGATCTGTGGTAGGCAAGCGTAGACCCGCCTCGAACAAGGCGATTAGAATGCCGACTTTGCCCTCCGGAGGACTGTAAAGCGATGCATCGAGTAGGGGTATTTGCACTCCGTGTTCGGGAACGAACCTGAACCGAAACTCGAAAGATTCCCATTCTTCGGTGGTAAGATCCCTTCCTAAAGAACGAGTGGTGGCCATGGAGAAATATGAAGAAAAGGTTGGAAGGGTTTTCTTAGAAATAAGAAGTCGAAGAGAGAAAAGCAAAATGTAAGGGGAAAACGCCAGGAGGAACAGAGGTTTAAATGCCACAAAAGGAGCAACGAGCTGTTTTCATGATGAAACCGCTGAACAACGGCGATTTCCCCCTGCTAACTGCATAAGCTATCAATAGCAGCCCGCCACGTGTCTGTGAGTAGACCAGGACAACTCTGCTACATCACGAATGCAGAGGCCTACTGGTCTAAGGGACTTGTTAACGTTACCATGAATGACCACGTTAAATGTAACGAAAAGCATAACAGATACGTTATCATGCCAGAACCTTGGCCAAGACCCGGTCTTGGCCTGAGTAAGCCAGCACCAGGGTGACAATTCACTTTCCTCCACGAGGAAAGAATATTCCCCGTGATCTTCTCATTCAATCACGACCAATCAGGACGTGACAAGAAGCTTAGGTGACGCCTAGAATTGACGTCACCAGGCAGTTAGTTAACGTGGGCGTGAACCTCCCAGTCAGTGGAGGCCACGTTTCATGCCCATCGGATGAGGTCCCCACGATCCGTTAGTAACATTTATAAAAAGGATCTCTTCCGCCTCAAGGAAGGATCCATCTTCTCTCTCACGAATTTTTACCCTAAAGTTCTAACCTCTCACAACTAACTTGATCGTCGGAGTGGACGTCCCGGGAGAACACCCGGACGTCCTTTAACGATTCTTCTGTGTTGTGTTCTCAGGAAAGCTCCCAGGACAGATCCATCACCATCAACATCCGACCCCTGTAGAGCATGTCCCAATATAATTATATTAATATATATATATATAGATATATATTATATATTAGAATATATATATATATATCGATATATATATATATATATATATATTATATATATAGATATATAATATATAAGAATGGGCACGACAAGGAGTTCAAAAACACACTATCTTGTTTATAGCGATAGGGGTGAGCTCTCTCATGGAAAACCCGAATTCTCGGATAATCAGGTTGAAGAGATCTATGGTAGGAAAGCGTAGACCCGCCTCGAACAAGGCGATTGGAATGCTGACTTTGCCCTCGGGAGGACTGTAAAGCGATGCATCGAGTAGGGGTATTTGCACTCCGTGTTCGGGAACGAACCTGAACCGGAACTCGATAGATTTCCATTCTTCGGTGGTAAGATCCCTTCCTAAAGAACGAGTGGTGGCCATGGAGAAATATGAAGAAAAGGTTGGAAGGGTTTTCTTAGAAACAAGAAGTCGAAGAGAGAAAAGCAAAATGTAAGGGGGAAACGCCAGGAGGAACAGAGGTTTAAATGCCACAAAAGGAGCAACGAACTGTTTTCATGATGAAACCGCTGAACAACGGCGATTTCCCCCTGCTAACTGCATAAGCTATCAATAGCAGCCCGCCACGTGTCTGTGAGTAGACCAGAACAACTCTGCTACATCACGAATGCAGAGGCCTACTGGTCTAAGGGACTATATAACGTTACCATGAATGACCACGTTAAATGTAACGAAAAGCATAACAGATACGTTATCATGCCAGAACCTTGGCCAAGACCCGGTCTTGGCCTGAGTAAGCCAGCACCAGGGTGACAGTTCACTTTCCTCCACGAGGAAAGAATATTCCCCGTGATCTTCTCTTTCAATCACGACCAATCAGGACGTGACAAGAAGCTTAGGTGATGCCCAGAATTGACGTCACCAGGCAGTTAGTTAACGTGGGCGTGAACCTCCCAGTCAGAGGAGGCCACGTTTCATGCCCATCGGATGAGCTCCCCACGATCCGTTAGTAACATGTATAAAAGGATCTCTTCCGCCTCAAGGAAGGGATCCATCTTCTCTCTCACGAATTTTACCCTAAAGTTCTACCTCTCAGAAAACTAACTTGATCGTCGGAGTGACGTCCCGGGAGAACACCCGGACGTCCTTTAACGATTCTTCTGTGTTGTGTTCTCAGGAAAGCTCCCAGGACAGATCCACCATCCAACAAACAGACCCCTGTAGAGCATGTCACAACATATATATATATATATTATATAATATATATATATATATATATATAAATATATATATATATATATATATAATATATATATATTATTATATATAGGCACGACAGAGGAGTTCAAAACACACTATCTTGTTTATGGCGATAGGGGTGAGCTCTCTCATGGAAAACCCGTATTCTCGGACAATTAGGTTGAAGAGATTTGTGGCAGGAAAGCGTAGACCCGCCTCGAACAAGGCGATTGGAATGCCGACTTTGCCCTCGGGAGGACTGTAAAGCGATGCATCGAGTAGGGGGATTTGCACTCCGTGTTCGGGAACAAACCTGAACCGGAACTCGAAAGATTCCCATTCTTCGGTGGTAAGATCCCTTCCTAAAGAACGAGTGGTACCCATGGAGAAATATGAAGGAAAGGTTGGAAGGGTTTTCTTAGAAACAAGAAGTCGAAGAGAGAAGAGCAAAATGTAAGGGGGAAACGTCAGGAGGAACAGAGGTTTAAATGCCACAAAAGGAGCAACGAACCGTTTTCATGATGAAACCGCTGAACAACGGCGATTTATATAGGGCACGACAGAGGAGTTCAAAACACACTATCTTGTTTATGGCGATAGGGGTGAGCTCTCTCATGGAAAACCCGTATTCTCGGACAATCAGGTTGAAGAGATTTGTGGTCGGAAAGCGTAGACCCGCCTCGAACAAGGCGATTGGAATGCCGACTTTGCCCTCGGGAGGACTGTAAAGCGATGCATCGAGTAGGGGGATTTGCACTCCGTGTTCGGGAACAAACCTGAACCGGAACTCGAAAGATTCCCATTCTTCGGTGGTAAGATCCCTTCCTAAAGAACGAGTGGTGCCCATGGAGAAATATGAAGGAAAGGTTGGAAGGGTTTTCTTAGAAACAAGAAGTCGAAGAGAGAAGAGCAAATTAAGGGGAAACTCAGGAGGAACAGATGTTTAAATGCCACAAAAGGAGCAACGAACCGTTTTCATGATGAAACCGCTGAACAACGGCGATTTCCCCCTGCTAACTGCATAAGCTATCAATAGCACCCCCCACGTGTCTGTGAGTAGACCAGAACAACTCTGCTACATCACGAACGTAGAGGCCTACAGGTCTAAGGGACTTGTTAATGTTACCATGAATGACCACGTTAAATGTAACGAAAAGCATAACAGAGACGTTATCATGCCAGAACCTTGGCCAAGACCCAGTCTTGGCCTGAGTAAGCCAGCACTAGGGTGACAGTTCACTTTCCTCCACGAGGAAAGAATATTGCCCGTGATCTTTTCATGCAATCACGACCAATCAGGACGTGACAAGAAGCTTAGGTGACGCCCATAATTGACGTCACCAGGCAGTTAGTTAACATGGGCGTGAACCTCCCAGTCAGAGGTGGCCACGTTTCATGCCCATTGGACAAGGTCCCTACGATCTATTAGTAACATGTATAAAAGGATCTCTTACGCCTTAAGGAAGGGATCCATCTTTTCTCTCACGAATTTTACCCTAAAGTTCTACCTCTCAGAAAACTAACTTGATCGTCGGAGTGACGTCCCGGGAGAATACCCGGACGTCCTTTAACGATTCTTCTGTGTTGTGTTCTTAGGAAAGCTCCCAGGACAGATCCACCATCCAACATCCAGACCCCTGTAGACCATGTCACAACATATATTATATATATATATATATATATATATATATATATATATATATATATATATAGATATATATATAGGCCTTAGCTTAGCTTGTTAGGTAAGCTTCCCAAAAAGACTCCCTTTCTATATCAATATCAGTTAGGTTGAGAAAACCAAGGCTCTTTGTATGTTTCATTTATTGATCAATAATATACAAAAGCTTTGACCAAGATTACTTGAAAATTTTATGTGATTGATTCATGATTCTTATTCTAATTCTGCATACGTCATTTCATTTTGGACTTCATAATTGGTATTAGAGAAAAATCTTGTAGATCTTAGCGATTATTTCAGGAAAAGATCAAAAAATGACGAAATTCGTTCATGAATCTCACTTCGTTCTTCAAGTTTTGTAAGTTTTTTGAAGTGGAAGTTAAATCTCTCTTGTATCTGCAAAATTCAATCTAGATTCGAAGGTTTTGTTTGAATCTGTTGTTCTCTACACATTCTTTCATTTGATTCATTCTTGATTCGTAGAAGAAAATTTTCGAGTATTATTCTCAGATTTGTTCTTAGATCCGTTTTCTCTCTCTGGAAATCATTTCAGATTCATTTTCTCTATCTTCAAGTTCTGTTTCTTATTGAAGATTCAATGTGTGATTTAGATTTTTTTGTTCAATAAGAAGACTAAGAATGAAAGTTATAGATCCAAATTTTAGTCTTTTTACTACAGATCGTTGGTATGTTGATGATCGAATTTAACTACTTGATTCCATTGATGTGTATAATCTCTATGTAGAGAGGAAGATAACTATAAATTCCTCTGTTCGTGAAGAAGAAGACGAACATAAGATTATTTTACGCTATAGCTCTTCATTAATAAGGCAACTTCTTATTATCAAAGCTCATTTTGATCGGGAAAATGAAAAAGAATTGGAGAAAGAAAGAAAAGAAAAAGAAAATGTTCTTGGTGTTCTTGATAAAGTTCATGATGTTCATCACGTTTTAGAGAAAAATATGACTCCAGATGCTTCTATTGAGGGGGGGTCAAGTGTTTCTACAAAGTAGTGTGATTCAAAAGTTTTACACTTTGAATATGGTATTTCAAATGGTGAATCGCAAAGCAAATCTCCTAAAATCGTGAAAGGGAAGGTGTTTTGTTCTATTAGAACTCAAATCGATGATTCTTCATGTTCTTGTAATTCGTTTGAAGGAATGGTTCCTTACAGAAAGCCTATTATTCAAGATGTTTAAATGTACTGTAAGGTCCTGAAACGGATCTTACCAGTGATCAAACAGCAAACACAATCAGTTAACAATAAAGAACAAGTAGAAACAAGAATGATAACAAGCTTGCACACGCTTTCTATTAGAATAACGTCTGGTACAACTTGTGGTAATAACAACCATGAACTCTGTGGCATCAACAACTAATAAATGACCTAGCATACCTCTATATATACTGGACCTGGGCCGGCCTTGGGTTTACGGCCGTAAACTCATTGTCGGGCCGTAAACATCTCACAAACTACCAACAGCTATAAATTGACTCAAAAGAACCTATTACATAGAAAGCCTAGACCAAACCACTAATTAGACCCTTCAATCTTCCCCTTGGTTTGGTACTAGCTTGAAGTCAATCTTTGTCCACGATCAACACATCGTCCAGCCCCATCGCTTCATTCCACACCCGCTTATTTATAATCTCAGCAACCATAGTGGTGTATTCTTTCGCGGCAGACTCAAATATCTCCTCAGCAACCTGGATCTGAAAATGACTCAAATGATGAATGTCCCATTTTCTAAACTGGAGCAAATCCCTTCTATCATACAAACGAATGCAATCCTCCTTAAGTTTGATGACAGCAGATGCTGTGGTTTCATCAAATACCCAATAGAGCATAGAGCTTAAGGATCCATCCGAGTAATCTTGAAGCACGGGAATCTGTTTGACCTGATTTGTAGCAGGCCACATCACCATCTGGAGGGGATTACCAGTTTTGGGATCAATAACATCAGGATATTGCTTTATCACAGATTCAGCAGTCTTCATAGATGGAAAACCCTTCTTTACTTGATCTTCCAGAAAGTGTTTGAAGTTAGTTGCTTGCTAATTATCTGTCGGGTTTGAGAATGGAGATTGAGACAGCTCTGAAAGATCCACCCTGGTCCAAGAGTTAAAATCATGACAATCCTTGTAGAGCTCCGTCTTGCCGCTCTTTCTGCGAACAATCCACATTTTCTGGGGATCATGAAAACCCCATGATACGATTCCGGACCTATCACCATACGTGTCTCTAAACCTTACGGTTTCGAGATCAGTAACAGTGATTGTGGATTGATTTCCTGGTGCATTCTTGTCGGAACTCCTTTTGAACAGGAGTTGTCCCTTCTCGGCGGCTTTGTCTTGTTTATCTCGAATAATCTGTGCAACATGTGGAGCATGAGCAGGTTCTTCTTCAAAACGATTCACCACTCGAGAAGTCTGAGCAGTTGGCATGGCAATAGGATGAGCCTGAGAGTGAAGATCAATTCTATGCTCATCTGCGGATGTCTTATACTTATCACCAAATTGTTCTTCAAGCTTCTTCTTGAGATCAAAGTAGCTGGAGGTCAAAAGATTGAAATGATCTTGGAGCTCAGAGATTTGCCTGGACTTGATTGCTTTATCTTCTTGGAGATCAGAAACTTGAAACTTCAAATTTGTATTCTCATTCAAGAGATCTTCAACACGAATATTTAACTCGATAATTTTCTGATCCTGCACATTCACTCTTTTCTGAAGTTCATCTATCACGGAGTCATCTTCTCTTGACTGACCTTCTCGAAAAGCAATTCCTTTGCCCTTAGAGGAAGGTGCGTTAGCTTGTTCCTGAGCAAGATGCAAGGCCAAACGCACAGAGGCTGCATCGTGAGCAAGTCTTGGAGGAGAGAATCCTGGTGGAATAGAGGAGCCACCGGCTTCAAAAAATGTGCTAGGGCCTTCACGTAAAGGTTCCGTAGTTACAATTACAGGAGTGGTAGTTGGAGTAAATGTCAAGTCCTGAGACAAGATAGAATCCAGATGTCCGATTCTAGGATCTCGTCGTCTTCTTTTGGACGGAGGCTGCGAAGTCTGGTCTGTTGAGAAATCACCCTGAAGTGGTTCAGATGTAGGTGAGATAACATCACGGGGAGGAATCCCTGATACTGTCACCATTAGAGTGGAAGAGACAACCACTTGTTCTGTAGTAATGGGGGTTGATTCGAGAGAGTCTTCTGTATTCCTACTCTCCGTTGATGTGTGAGCAACATCACTGAGATTATCTAGCAGCGAGTTGAGGTTGACGTTTGACAGAAAATGATCATTAGATCCAAAATTAGTTGGAATCTCATCTGCATCGAAACCTGTGAGATCAAGGTCTTCATATTGAGTAGGCTCAGCAGTATTCTTGGAAGACCCTTCATTGTAATCTCCTTCAACTTGAACTGTTTGTAGTTCATGCTCCTCTGCTACTGACACAGCAGGAGCAACAGTCTCTTCTCCTTCTTGATCTGACACGGTGATCACATCTCCTTCTGAAATCACCTTTTCCGACGAAGTGTGCTCCGAAGATATCTTATCTGAGGATCCGTGTGTCTCTGTTGCTTCATTTGGTTCAGCAAATCGTCCGAACTTAACCACAGGATACAACCCTTGAAAGATCACCTTCCCCCTGCGATTTTGTTTAATGAGCCCAATGGTGTGAGGGCCCAATGATTTCATATCGAGTGTTTCTCCATCCTTTACCAAGTTGGGAAATTTCTTATTGATGAAGAGCTGAACGAACCGAGGGTACATTAGGAAGGTATCCCGAGTAGTGGCATTAATGTTGACCACAAATTCGTCCAGAATAAACCGAGAGAAGTTGAAGCCGATCCCCGCAGCGAGAGAAACAATAGCACCAATGTTTCTCAGGGATATCTCATCAGCACCGGACCTTCTGCCGGAGACACAGCTCACGAACACGTGGGCTAGAAGTCTCCAATAGGGCGGCAGAAGTTTCTTCATTGTTGGTGGAGAATCACACTCGTATCCCATCTTCCTTAGAATCCTTTGAGCATCACCAATACCAATTTCCGTGGGAAAGGTCGGAAGGTCGTTGATCAGCAGAGTCTCTCTCACAAAGGTCTCATCAATAACAATTTTGCATCCCTGAACGATTGCATCCACAGTGACAGCTCCATTATCATCCCTTGTC